ATATATATTTATATATATATTTCTTCTTATCTTCATTTCCTCAGCAAAAGGAGAAACAAAAATACTGATCTATAAAATAAGCAGATGATAACATAATGCCAAAAATAGCTTATGTTAAGTGCAAGGGGTGAAGCTTGAGAGCAAGCTAAATTGCAACAACATATTGATTTAACATTTAAATACAAGACTTGCAATAAAATAATTCTTCAGATAAGCTTCTTAGCTTCAGTTTCCTTTTTAAAACTACTCTATATACACATATCCAGTTGTAACACTCGACAGTAGCATGAGGCGGCATGATATAACTTTGGTACACATTGCAGACGTGGACAGCTAATGACTGTAAATGACACCTCTCACCAGCAGGGCTCTGTACAGCCAGGTGACCAGCCACCCGCTCCCGTATCACTTCCCACCAAAGTCCCCATCGTTCACCCCAGAGCCATTCAGGCGGCAGCAGAGAACGCAGGCTCACTGGATCCATATCGTGTTTCCTCTCTCTGTTCTCCTGGGCTCCACGGTCAGCTCTCCGAACGTGGAGAAGAACTGCTCCATTTCCTTCTGCAGCATGTCATTTCTTTTCTCAGCATCTTCTTTGGCTCGCTCGGCGTTTCGCATTTTAATCTCTATCATAGTGAACTTCTTCCTTTCTTGATCCAGTTCATCGTGGAGGCTCATCATTTCTGTTTCCAAAGTCAAATTTCGCTGTTCTAAGCTACAAGGAGGGGCCAGGGGAGATGGAATAAGAGAAAAACAAAATGAAATGTAAGAGGGATACCAATACTTTCTAAACTCTTGTTTACTATGCTCAGGAAGTCAGAGTGAGCCATTTCAAATTAGCAAAGCAAGGTTTAATAATCGGAAAGATTTTATTATCTTGCTATTGGCTAACATGATTTACTCTCATTTTACTAATAAGGCCAAAGACATCTCTTGGAAGTGATTAGATGTCATTTAATAGTCAGTGAATGAGTGTCAGCACAGAGAAGCTAGAGACTCAGATCAGACAGCACAGACAGGGCAGAAGTAGAAAGCAGCCAAACCCCAGAGGCTTCCAGGACGTTAACATCAATGCGGCCTTTCTAAACAAAAGCAGGAAATTCTGACAGAGTTAGGAAAAAAAAAAAAAAAAAGACAACTACATGTGCCTTCTGTCAAAGGAAAAACACTGATAACCAAAACAACGTTGTGATTATTTGTCCTGAAATGTTGAGTTCATTGAAATAAGACATGCCCTGTGTGTTAGTAAAACACACTCCTGGGTGTGTCTGAGGGCCTTGGAGGCGTGGCCTCGGGTCTTCTGCTGGGCCCTGGCCCCTTCCTCTCTGAGGCTGTTCTCCTGTTCTGCGTTCCTGAAGGAAGCAGCTGTGCTCTGACCTGCCCTTCTACCAGACATCCTCGCCTTGCAGCAAGCTGATTATGGACTGAATCACCTGAAACCGTGAGCCAATTTATACCCCCTACCTTCAAACTGCAGTGGCAGGCATTGTGTCCCAATGATAAAAAAAGCCAACGCATGCAGATGTTTTCTGTGGTTGAGTCCACTTCTACGAATAGGCTTTTAGCAAGCAAATAGTCTATATAAGTATGGAAGTGGCTGGATTGCACTGACAAGAGAAGGCAAAGGTGTGGGCAGTAAGTAAGCAACTCCACTTGATGCTTTGTAAACATGGGGCCCACCTGCGAGCCTGCTATCACCGATTTTTAACTGTTTTCCAAAAAGTATTTTTCTCAATAACCACAAAGATCCAAAGATCTCCACACCCACAATTGTACACACACACACACACACACACATATATATATACACACACACACACACACACACACACACACATATGCGTGCATTTTTCAAAAGAGAAGTATTAAACACTGGTTATTATATGATGTGGCCTAGCAATGGGAAGACTTTTTCATTTCTCCTTTTTTGAGCTAAGACCACATTGGATCATTCAAATTTACCAGATCTCTGAAATTAGAAATGTTAATGTACATATGTATGGTGTTTATTTTAATAATTATAAAATAAAAAATCACATTATTATTTTTTTAAATGAGCCTCTTATGTTACCTGGATATTTCATCCAGATGAGAACACTTAGAAAGAAATCTGTCATCCTTTTGTAAGCACCTAGAATTTTGTAAGAATAGTATTTTGGGGGATGGGGATTTGGCTCAGTGGTTTGGTGGCATGCCTTGCAAGTGCAAGGACCCAAGTTCAATTCCTGGTACCAAAAAAAAAAAAAAAATTGTATTTTTGACTCTGTAATAGTTAAAAGGATTATTTTAAGCTCAATGATGTTAAGGATCTGGTACCATACTGGTTGCCACCCCAGAATATAACATATGCTTAGTTTCATGCAGCTATTCTGGAACTAAAACTTAACAATAAGCCAAAGTTTGTTAAGAAAGAGGACCCTTTCAAACAATATGTCGATACATTTGTGCCTTTCAGGTACATGTGTGAAATTTCCAGGAATCTAAAGTACTGAGTTGAAGATATAAAGAATACCCCGCCAGTAAAAACTCATAAAAATGCTGAAACCTGTAAGAAAAAGATTTCTCTAAGTAGTGAAGGTTAAAATAAATAAAAGAATACCTTTAGGCATTAGAACTAATTAATATGTAGTATAGGTAGGCTGAACATGCGGGAGTGTTGGTCCCACATAAAGGCCCTAGAAGCTGGGGCTAAGCATTTCTTACTGCTTGGGGACAGAAGATGGGCCTTTGCATAAAAAAGGCAGAAAACTGCAAGTGATTAAACTGAGAGCTTGCAACACAAGATACCACTGCCAAGAAGGGACTACAAGAACTGTGATAGGTGGGACGGGGCAGAACTGAATGAGCAGCAGAGAGAGTGAGTAAACTAGAAAAGAGTTCTGAGAAACACAGAATGTCTCACAGACTAATAAGTACAGTGACTTACTCTCAGACAAAGAAGTGAACAGACATGGAGGCTAAACTAAGAAGGTCTAATACACATTTCTTAATCAGGTGCTCGAAAGAGAAAATTCTCAGTTTGGCAGAGAATGAAATAAATAGTAATGAATGAAAATATTCTATAATTGAAAGAATTAGGAGTCCTCAGATCAAATAATAAAAAGTATATATTGAAAGTTAAGGAATGAAAACAACACATGAGGAAGTTATTAAAAAGGATTGCATAATTATATTAATATCAGAAAAAATAGGCAAAAAATATTATTGCAACAAAAGATGACTTATTTAGCAAAAAAAAAAAAAAATCATTCCCATAGGGAGACATAAAAATTCTGAATATTTATTCACTAGGTAGTAGAGACTCAAATTGTTCTATATAAAATTTAATAATAATGAGAAATTGATAACCCCAAGAATAATGTTAGGAGATTTTAAGATACCTTTCTCAGAAATTTTACATCTATTTGATAAAAATTAGAAGAAATATAGGTGATTTCGATATATTGAACAGATTTGATCTGTTTGCACATATGGTATCTTAACCCAATAATAAAAGAATAGTTTTTACTGGACCAAATAATTGATATCTTACTAATGAATATCATACTAATGAATCTATACAATACAATATTTTCATAAAAAATAATGTTAGAAGCCATTTGGAAGCAGGGAAGAAAGACAATAAAATTTTAGGGTTAGGGATGTAGCTCAGTGTCACCGCACCTGCCTGGCAAGCTCAAGGTCCTGAGTTTGATTCCCTGTACCAGAAAAAAAAAACCTTAAAAATATTATGTCTCATTGATAATTTAAACAAATATTCTATCACCTGTCTCTCTCTACCCATGCATCCATCCTCAATACTTTACGAAGTAGGATGAAAGGAGAATTTAAAGAAAAATGTATAAACTCTAAACAGAGGATTGTACATCAGCCGGAACAGTTAACCTCTCCTATTTGCAGGGTTTGGGACTGCGCACCCCTACCCCACCTTCCTGCAAACTTGTCTCTGGCAGTCCTATGGGTGTCGATACTAGGGCGAAAAGGCTCATGGAAATGATAGATTTGGAAAGTTCTATTATTTTATCATACTGCCTGAAATTCCTACCAATCTGAAAGTATAAAATTATCATCTATATCCTCACATATGAATGCAAACACCTGCAGCTTCAGACTCACATTTTCCTGCTCCTAAAAGAAGCTAAAAGTGTTATCCTAGCTTTGAAAGAGAAGCCTTCCATTCTGAGTGCTAATGTGTCATCAAGCACTGGCCACATTTCAGAATCCTGGTGGTTAATGGTTCCAAAACCTATACTCAGAGAGAAGAGCAATCTTGAAAGGGAATGGTCCTGCATTTATTAAAACTCAGTATTATATAGAAAAGTTCACACCACTTTTTCATTCAGTGATGCGTACAAAATATGTTGTCCAAGGAAATAATTTTTCAAACTCTTAAGTAATATTTTTGTTTGTATTTATATTCCATATCTCCTTAAAGGGTGTTATCCTTTCACTTAATAAATGATAAAAGGATGGAAAACAGTAGGATAAGTTAAATTCAAGTATATGTACACTTATGTAGGTATCAAGTTTCAAATAAAACCATAGATTTTGGAGCCATGCAATCAGCTGAGGCAGGACAATTTGATGGGGATCCAACGCACTGTACAGGAAGAGCTCCCCCAGAACACACAGTTTGAAACGAGGACCTCTAGAGGGGCTGCCTGTGCAGAACTGAACTGCTACCTGCTTCTTCTGACTTAATAATGTGGGCTTCTTTCCTCTACAGCACAGCGACAGAACATAAAACCACCTGTTTGTAGCTTTTGTGACCATGGTGAAAACGTGGGACGTGGTGATTTCCAGGGCTCCAGCACAAGACTTCTTTGTGAGTGCTGGGCTGCATTCTCAAGGAGGCCCTTGACCCTCAGGAGCACTGCATATATAGGACATTCAGCCAGTGTCCTGTCACCTGCCCACACTGCCACCCCGAGGGAGCCGTGAAGCAGACTTCTGCCCCAGCATCTCTGAGAAGAGGCAAATTAACAGAAAACAGATTTTAGCGCCACTGTTTCTGTATTAGTCACATGGCCTGCTTCAACCTCTTTTCCCAATTAGTACATGTGAAAGTCCTACGTAGGTCCCAAGACTGAACATGACCTTTGCATAGCCCTCTGTCACTTGGCACCTGCCACCTGTCTGAGCTCATCTGGATCCTCTGGGCCTGGCAGAAAGAAGATACTCTCTTAGCAGTCAATTATTGAAAGAATAAAAAATAAGGATCTGCTCACTGTTTTATTAACCTTGATTTTTTAAGTCAATTTTTTAAAAACTCTGATTTTATCTTTTTCTTGTCAGTGGAATTAGCAGATAACTTATTCCATTTTCATCTCCTCACAGCCCTATTTCACCTAGTCTTCTCATGCAAACTCACAAATTGAATAATAATTATAACATGGTAGAGCCTTAGTTCTGTGCCAGGGATGAGGCACGGTTACATCTCAGTGCTTCTTAGGTAGATGTAACTAGGATCTAAATTTTTCCAATTAGAAAGCCAAGGCACACAGAGGTTAAAACTAACATCTCCAAAGTTCCTCAGCTCGCGGAGGGTGCAATAAGAATTTGAACCTGGGTCTCTGCCCTTAAAGTCTGCACATTTAGACTCTCCTGAGATTTCTGTGCCACAGGAGGAGGGTGTTGCCCCCTCCTGGAGTTATGATCTCCAGATTTTCCTCACCTCTTTATCCTGGTCTCATATTCTATCTTCTGTTTGGTCATTTCCTGTTTCAGGCTGGAGACTAAACTGTGCAGTGCACTGTGGTTGCTGGTGTTGTTACCAACAAATGTCTCACTGTTGTCACTGCTGCTGGTGGCACGACTACTTCGACCTCCCACACTCCTACGGTCACTTTTGTTTTCATAGTCCCCGGGGTGAGAAATGTCATCCTGGGGTGGCCCATCCAAAACAGGATCCTCAAAGTTCCCCCCGTAAAAGTCTTGCTCTGGGCAGGTGGTAGTGGAGGAGCGGCAGGAAATGGAGTTCTCAGGGAGGGAGATTTCACAGGAGGAAGTGGACCAAGTGGCACTGTCCACACTGTGTTTGTCTTCAAGGTTCATCATGGAGAACTGCTGGTGGACATTGTCATAGGTGGAGAGCCTGTTGTGCTGGCCCGACTCTCCAACTTGCTCCTTCTGCTTGTTGTCCCTCAGGGTCACATAGCCATTGGGCAGCCAGCTCATGCTGCGACCATTCACAGGGTTCCCGAGCACGTCGGGGTTCAAGACGCCCAAGCGTACTGTTCCATTCTGTACACTGTGGGTACCCATTTTGGTACCAGACCCCTTCAGTGAAGACGTCCTCCTGGCTTGGAAGCTGCCATTGGGTGTGGCCTGAGTTTTCTCCAGACCTTCTGCATTGCTGCTGCTGAAAGACCCGTTGGTGACTATCCCGCTACCCTTATTGAAGGCAGGGTTCTTTTTGACCATGAGAGGGGGGCTCCTAGACACGTCCAGCTTGTGGACGCTGTTCCTTGGGCTGTTGCTTTTGCTACTCGGCAGAGCTGTGGGGGATCCATTGTCCATGCTGCTCCTCTGGGGAGACTCAGACTTGTCCCAGGAGCACTGCCTACCAGGGCTATCCTTGGTGTTATTGTTTTCCTTGTTCTGTAACTGACCCGTGGTAGCTTTCTTCTGAATGTCATTGTTGTTGTTGCTCATTCCATCCTGGGGCTTGCTTTGTAGTTCTGCATCTTTGGGGAAGAGGCAGTCGTGTTTGCTAATCATCACCGACATCAACTGCTGGACCACCACAGTGCCTGAAATTGCAAAGGAAAGAAATGAGTATGAGGGACTCAGTTTTTGTTACAGTGGTGGTTCGGTTCACTTAATTCTTTCCGTAGTTCTAGTCTGAAATGGAGTTGGATGAGAACTAAAGCAAATCAGTGGTTAAGTTCAACATTGACTTTCTGGGGAAATTTGATTCAGTTCTCATCCAGTTGAATTTGGTACGAGAAAGGTGGGTGGAAATAATTAATTTCATGAACCGAGATACCACTGTATTTCCAATTTTTCATGTGTTTCTTAAAAAATATATTTAGGCAAAATTCAGCATTTTTATCAGCAGTACCAGATTATATTCTTGGTGATTATAACAGCAATAGATGTTAAATTTCATAAGCATTTACGCATATTGTTGTATGCACTGTATTAAGCATTTTATGAGCTGTATTATGTATGAGATGTATTAAGCATTTCATCTTTGTAGTTTCCTTGGATTTTAAACCTATGTATGAATATATATATTGTTATTCTCACCATTTCTGAAATGTTTAGTAATCTGACTAAAGTCACAAAGCTTCCGAGGAACAGATGTTGGGCTTGTACCCAGTTATCTAGTTCAACATCTAGAGTCTTCATCATCATACTACATTTATGGCAAGTTTCACATTTAAATATGATAAATCAATTCAGATTCATCTTTCATTAAAACAGCAATTCAAAAATCAATTTCTCTATCAGGGGCTGTGTCATATCAATGAAAATATCAAATATATCTTCACATACTGCTCTTTGCTCTACAAGCAGGGCTCCTGCCTCCTTCACCTGGCTGGGACAACCAGAAGCAGGAACTTGACCCAGGGCAAGGCCACTTTCCAACCCGAAGCAGCACATTCGCAAAATAATTCATATTCAACCTGTGAATGAATAAATATACTATGCGCATCCATGTCCTGTACACTCTTTCTGTGATGATTTGAATTTATATTTAGACAGGGCATTTGCAGCATGCCAGGTCTGCTGCTAGACTAACATTGCTCAGATTTTAGTGTTCATAAAGATCACCTAGAGATCTTGCCAAATTCAAATTCTAATTCGATAGCCATCTGGTGGGACATGAGATTATATATTTCTAGCTGGCTTCCAAATGACAGAAGCAATAACTGGCCAGCGACACTACCCTCAGCTGGGAGTATCCTGATTTCAGGGGACTCTGCAGACCTCCTGATCCAGAATCTGCACAGCAATAATATTCCCATGTGATTGCTGTGTGCAACAGAGTTTGAGATACCCTGTGGTAGATGGGAGTGACTCTCACATATTTTCCAAATTAAGTGTCTCAGAAATCTGAGTTTTTCAGGAGAGAAAATTGGGTTTCAGAAAGGTTAAGCTCTTTGCTGAAGGACACACATGGTTAAGTGAATGAGGGAAAATTTGATACAGTGGACCTTCAAGTTATGGTTGGCCTGACATACAAAGAACTTTGGTTACAACTAGAATTCTAGTTTTAACTTGTGATCAAAATCCAAAGAGTTCTGGAAGGAACATCACAACATCCTTTCCTATGTGCAGTTAATTGAGAAATCCTGAGCCTAAGTCTCTCTAAGGACACTGAGATCCGCCTGTATATAGGCGAGATTCTTCAAGGGCTATGTAGAGGAGCCTGAGCCTTCAGTTGACCAACTTGAGTTACAATGAGCTCTCTCGAATGAAGTGAGTTTGTAAGTTAAGGGTTGATGGTACTCATTTTTCTTATTCCAATTTGTACATTGTCTGAGTATCTTTCAGCTGCTAGAATTTAAACCAGTAAGGGTTGTAAGTAAACACAGAGTACTTCTAAGAATCTAAATAGAAGACAAATCTATTGAAACACCAGCACTTAAGGCACATTTGTGGAAGATAACAGAATGAATGCAGTTAATTTTATTGTATATACATCTTTCCTCTTTAACAGTCTCTAGATTTTAACCGTATTTTCAGTGCAATGAATCTGGTGAAAGACTTTAGAGCAGCAAAAATGTCTGTCAACACTGCAATTGTTGAAGATGTTGTTTACTTGATTTTGTTTTATGATTTGCCATTGTGAAAGACATACTTTCAAGGACTTCCAGATTTTGTTATAGGAGACTCTTGACTAGTACTTAGTGAAAATGAACCTTTTTTCCATCCCTAGAATATTAACATTGAAGCAACACTGCTCTCCATTGTAGCAAAGAACTCTGGGAGGCATTTAATTAATTGAAGAGCAGCTTTCCAAAGTGTCCACGATGAAACTGTGAAAGCCATGATAATTATAGAGTGACAATTACAGAGTGAGAGTCAGGGCCTGGCGGATTAAGAACCCTTTTTCTTGTGTGTCAGGAGGCTTTGCTTCCATTTGGTTTCTGTGATAACAAATGGTAATCGTTCTCTGTAAGGGGCCCTCTAAGACCAGACTGGGTGGGTAGTGATGAGGGTATGTGAGTGCATCATCTTTTTTCTTTTTTTTCCCCTCCCTCCTCCCTGTCATTTTCTCCCTTAGAATGCTGATGAGGTACATTAAACCCAAATGAGCTCAGAGTGGTTATAATCTCCAGGTGATTATGCAGAGTCCCAGCAGATTCTGGAGTCCCACTGTGCTACATAATCCAACAATTTCCCCTGACTCCTATCATTTTATACAGGTTGATTTAAATAACATATTGTAGTCACTGTTTTTCATAGGCATTGACCTGGAATTCAGTTTTTCTTCAGAGATACCCAGGCACTATAAAAAATACTATATACTCATAAATGGGCAGCATTCTGTGCAATATAATTTCAATTTGTTCTTTTTGCAAGAGATAATCTATACATGTGTTACTTTGCATGTCTGCAGATATCAATAAGATATCTGATAAGCTTTGACAAATGTATACAGTCCTGGGGAGAACAGCTAATTAGAACAAAAAAGTTCTCATGTGTCCTGACCTGCTGCCAATGGCAACCATCAGTGTGTTTTCCATGACCACAGCTATCTCTGGTCCCTGGCCCTTCCTCTCCCGCGTGCCTTCCGACCCGCTGTGCTTTCCAGCTGCCAGGACGTGAGCAGCTTAATCTGTCACTATGGTGCTCATGGTGTCGTTGTATTTCTTGAAATGAAAAGTTGACATCATACATTTTTGAGAGTGTATCTGCCTAATGGTCAAGTCTGAATAACCGTAGTGTGGAAGTCACTTTTCATATACAAATGGAGTTGTCTGTGCCAGGCATGGTGGCATATGCCTGTAAATCCAGCCTTCCAGGAGGCTGAGGCAGGAGGATCACAAGTTCAAGACCCACTTGAGTAACTCAGCAAGAAAGACCCTGTCTCAAAAACAGACAATCAAACAAAAAAAACAAAAGGACTAAAGATGTAGCTCAGTGAAAAGGCCCTGGACTCAGTCCCCAGTACCACCACCAAAAAAACAAAAACAAAAGAAAAGTTAGTACTCCAGTAGTCAGTCACACAAATATGTTTTCCTGCATTAATATCTATATTACTTTAAAAACAGTATGCAGAAAAATGCTTTAGATATTGAGCTGGTTACTTCCTCAATAATATCAAAAAATATGTTCAGATTGGAAATATAATACAATTTGATACAATGAATACTTTTTACTGAATGTCTACAAGAATCTTCCTAAGTAACACTGGCATTTTCTTCCGTGTTACAACTGGATGATCATGAAGGACCTGATGCTGGCCCCATGTGGCACCATGGCCTTGATGCCAAGGTGTTAATTGTTTTGCCTTTCATCACTTCTGCATCATTAATCCAAACCTCAATGCACTGAAAGGACAGAAAGCAGTTTCTACAATTTTATGTGGACTGGTCGGCCTTCTGAATGTAACTCAGAGGTCTCCAGGGTACTATGGACCATAGGTTGAGAATCACTAGGGTAGATAAACTGCAATATGGTGACATGGGTGGATTATAATAATATAAAGTATGATTAAAATGTATATATGTGGCTAAATGAGGACTAAAAGGGAAAAAGTATAGTACATATGTGCATGCTTTACAGGGTAGATATGCTACAAATATTAAAATAATGAAAGAGTATTAAAAGAGCATATTTACAAATTTTTAAACATTTTAGTAATCATACTGGTGTTTGCAGTACTAGTATTATTATTCTGAAAGTATTGTGTGATAACATATACTGTAGAGCAAATTATTAATTATGAGGAATTCTACTTTTGTCATCTTTAATGTCCTTGAGAATGAGAAATATTTTAAATGAAAATGATACAATTGTAATAGAGAAAGAATAAATAAAAAGCCTATAGTCAATGATTATGCACTGGGAGCATGACATAAACTTTTGATGCACTTTTCCCTTAATGTGTGTACCCACGTGTATATGCATCTATATGTAAAAAGCATATTGTATTTGTACATGTGAATTTAAACCTACTGTCCACTGAAACATCTAGAAACAATGACCAAACCAGTAGCAAGGAGTGTTCCTGGTACTTCGATTTTGGCCTTGAAATATCATTTCTCCACTAAGAGAAAGCAGGACGTTTTGAAAATTGACCAATTCTGCTTTGGTATAGGCAATGCATTATGAGTCTGGGAAACGTTGTACTAAAAAGAAATGATGCCATCTAAAAATACTAAGGTTGTGTCAAATGGACTGAGAAGTCAACTTGAAGAGGCCTCCACTGGCCAAAGATGGAAAAATATGGGTGAACTTCAATAGAGGGTAATAATTACAATATCCTACTACCTGACTTCATCATGTTATTTATAATTAGAAAAGTAGTATTCAATTTTGGAGAATATCACCGGTTGTTTTAGTTAGTTTGAAAACTGATAAAGGGGAGGATTCCAGCAGCATTTCGCAGTATGATCTTGCTTATCTGAGTTACCTACAACGGACAAATTCACAGCCACAGAAGGTAAGTGGGGTTGCCAAGAGCTTGGTGACAGTGGGGATGAGGAGTTAGTGCTGAACAGGTACAGAGTTTGAGCTCTGCAAAACGCAGAGGAACCCTAAATAGATGGTGGTGATAATTACATAACAATGAGAATGTACTGAATACTACTGAACTGTATGCTTAAAGGTAACACAATAACAGATTGTTATGTAAATTTTACAACAAACAATAAAAATAGAAAAAATAGAATTAGAATATAATCATTTTAATTACCAGTGAATTAATGTTAGGGATTGTGCTAAATGCACAAAAAGATAGACATTATACAACTGCCAATTTAAAAACACATAATTTATACCCATGCCAAGAAGAACAAAGATGAGTTTGGTCCAGATTCTAACTTGTAAACCATCAAAGTTAGAAGAATATATTAAATTTCACCATGAAATACAACCAACAAAATTCAGACTATGGGAAACCACACTTTAAATAACCTAAATTTCCAAATAATAAGTTATATGACATCCTATAAGCTAAAGGATTCTTAAAAGATATCAAGTAAAGGAAGAAGAAGCACAATATAATGGCTGGCGAGGTCTTTGAGGCAAAGACACATAAGGAAGCAACTGGCGTAAATGTCTGAGCATAAATACAGAAGCATTGTGGGTTTGTGCATAGGAAGGCCTTCAGAGAAATAGCCTGCCTTGATATAGGCGGTGATTTCTAGAGAGCTTATCCTACAGGACATGTTAAGGTTTGTGTGTATATGTGTGCGTGTGTGTGGATATTCTTTATTGAGTAAATTTTAATTTATAATGAAGGTTTTAAAAACAATGAACTAAAGTATCTCTAAGATTTTTATAGCTTAAATTTTAACATTTTCTAATGCGTGCTACTCATATGGAAAGCAATTTTTCTGAAATACTATATTGCCAAAAATCTGATGCTCATTTTATAGTCTTCTCAGTAATAGACAAAGGAAATTAAACTGAATTGTTGTGGGTAGATACCCTAAAGCTTTCACACACACACACACACACACACACACACACACACACACACACACACATACACTACAGAGGAATGAAAATCTTAGAATTGTCAGGAAAGGAACAATATCAGAGAGTAAAAGGAACATAACTGATAATGATATCTTGTTCTAAATAACCAAAGAGAAAAGAAAAATAATTATTCTTTCCTTTACTTTGTTAAGTTTTTAAATAGTCATTGGCAAGGTTACAGAAAACAATGATGCCCCTACTGGTCACAGCACAAAAGCACTGAGTCTAGTAGAATGAAACAGGAGCAGTTCAGCATGGAAAATAATTGGAGTCATTTCTCATTTGCTCACAAGAATTCCTTCTTGTTTTAGCCCCTAAATACCTAGTGTTGTCTTAAAAAGGGCCCAATTTCTTTACTTCCTGAAACCAGTCAAAAGAAAACCAAATTAATAAACACATATTAACTGAAAATAACGTTGAAATTTCTGAAATTTACAAAGAAGACATTTTTTTTTCAGTTCTTCCATCTAATATTTTAGTGCTGATTTATTGCTTTATAAAAGTTTTATTTGTTCTTATAAGGGTACTGGGAATGATTTTATGGTTAATAACTTGAACAAAATGGCTAAGTGTCAAAAGAAAAGACTGCATTTAAAGAATAAATGAGAGTCAGTACTTGGAGCTCTCATGAATTTGACTTTTCTTTTTATTTGTTCAGATGAGAATGGATTTTGGTCAACCAAGACGGTTAGTTTATTCTCCTTTTACTGAGGCCGTGAAATAATGGTTCACTCACCTTCCATGATGGTTAAAGGATCTTCCACCTTGGGACGCAGGATATTTGGACCAAACACAGTCGCCAAGTTCTGCACACTCATTTTGTTAACTCCTGAATAAGACTGCACTTCATCCAAGAACCTATTGGTTGCAAGAATAGGATTGAAACACGGTGGAATTAAATTAATCCATGGATGAAAATAGATAGTTGGAATAGTAATGAACTGTAGTACAGTATGTTTGAAGATGATTAAGCAGAAAAATTTACTTGGAAATTCAAACAGCTCTTATTTATATTTAGAGAAAGTATACTGCAAATTACGAAGAAGCAAACTTTAGGGATCATATCAGATCCCTGTTCTGCCTTCTCCTGTTATGGTTTCTTGTCAGTTGAAGGAGCCAGTGTGTCTGGGCAATGTTGATATGGATTAAAGAGTCAAGGACAAGTTTTCCCTTCCTGAACTTTGCGTAAATGCACCCCAAAGGCTGACGGGTCAAAGGCTTGGTTCCCAGTCTATGGTGCTATTGAGCAGAGGCAGCACTTTAAGAGGTGGCGGGAGGTTTGCTGGTCATTGGGGGTGAGGTCTGTGCTTGGAGAAGATGATGAGGCCCCACTCACTGCACAACTTTCTCTCTTTCACAACTGGGCCATGAAGTAGATGGGTTTCTTATGAACTCCTGTCCTGACATGTTGTATTGCCATAGGCTAAAAGCAACAGGGCCAATCCATTATAGATTGATCCCTTTGAATCTGCAAGCCAAAATAAATCTTCCCTCGTTAAAAATTCATTACCTTAGGTGTTTAGTTACAGTGACAGAAAGCTGACTAACAGTTCTAATCCTTCAATGAAGTATAAAGCTTAGCTAGTGATGGTGTATGCCTACAATCTCAGCACTTGGGAGACTGAGGCAGGAGGATCACAAGTTCGAGCTCAGCCTGGGAAATTCAGCAACTTAGTTGAGACCTTATCGCAAAATAAAACAATTTAAAGGAAGAGGTCAAGAATAGAATTTCAGTGTCAAGGCCTTGGGTTCCATTCCCAGTGATGAAAAAAAAAAAAGAAATTATATACATGTTCAATTGAAGAACGCTCTCTAAAATCATCTGTTAAATCCTTTCTTTTATATCGAAATAATAAACTCTCTTTGTAGAAGAATAAAAGCTTCAAATTTATAGTCTATTAAAAATAATATCAAACAATGTGGAAATAAAAGCATTAATTCAATTGACATGAAAAATTGCAAGCACAAATTGTTTCAAATTATTAGGTGCTACAGAATAAAAGACACCAAACCATCCTTTCTCAGGATGATTCTAACAGGAGAGATTGATTTTGTAACCTTTCATCCTTTTTTCATTGCTCACCTCCTCTTCATTTCTACAAGAGCTTCTGTTATTTCATGGATTGCTAACTGTACTCAAAAGACTAAAAAGAAATGAAAAATAAAAATAACATGTTTATATAGCTAGTGTTATATATGTGACTGAAGTCTGACAGCATTTCCCTGAGCTAGACACTATTACTCTCTCCACTTTACGGATGAAAGGGACAAGGTACCAGAGAGGTTAAGAATCTAGGGGCTGGGGATTTAGCTCAGCAGTTCGGTGGCCTGCCTTGCAAGTGCAAGGACCGGAGTTCAATCCCTGGTACCAAACAAAACAAAACAAAACAAAAAGAATCTACACCAAGGACCTAGGGTCGGTTCACAGCAGAGCTGAGCTTTGAACCCAGGTAGTGTGTCTCCACTACGAGTTGCTCAGGTCCTTATGTCCACATTTTCACTACTGTAATATATGGTCTGATCTACAGAAAACTGAAGGCAAAATTGAATTAAATTAAATATTTGCTTAAATGTTTCCAAAGAGAAGTGAAATATTTATATTCTGGATACAGAGACTTGCCTTACTGTTCTCTAACAAGTCTTTTCCCTCTTCTATTTAAAGATGTGACCTTTGCTTTTTAACCTACTGCAATAATTTGAATTAGTTTGAAATCTTGGGATGAAAACCTTATGTGTTAATAAGTATATGTTGTCAATGAAGCTATTTCTTGCTTTTCAGATTCTGAAACCTAAGATCTTGGTTTTCCCTGAGCATAACAATCACCAGCAAAAGTTCTGCTGGGGGGGTCTGGATTCCCTACTCCATTTTCTTCGCCATGAACTCCACAGTGTTGGGCTGTAGGGTTCAACTCCACAGCTCCTAGATGCTGGGGGAAATATGGGTTTTCGTGACCATAGTACCAGGGAGGACCCTGAAGTGCAGATCATAAGACAATTGCACATAGACAGCAGGCAGCCCAGGGTGGCACCTGGCTTTCCTCACAGATAAGGGACAGGCTCCTCTTGCTAGCAGCACTTCTTCCCGCACAGGATGCAAATGACTCTGACACATGTTCAAAGCAATATGACTTTAGTATATGGAGCCAAGAGATTTCAGCAGCATCAGATCACGATATCAAGCAATCTTAGTGCTCAAAAAACTGTTGAAGTCACCTTATAAAACCTCTTAGTTTCCTAGGGACTGACGGAAGTTCAGAGCAGTTCGTGATTTTACTCACTGTCACGCGTAAGTTATTGTCAAGCTAACTATAGATTGTTTTGTTCAGCTTATCTTTGGGAAAGTCCTTACCTGCAAATGTACTTGAGGAGATTGTAATTTACCACTGGCAAACCCTTCACCTGCTTTGCTAATTCCTTAACACCCTGCAAAGAAGAGAACAAAGGTCATCTTTCTCTGCACTTGCCTTAGGGTTAAAGCAAGCCATACAATTGAGTATTTATAAGAAGTTTATTTGGCAAAAAATTTAGTATTGAGGTGGTGAGGCTCTTTCCCCATTTTAGCATGCTTGGAATTTGGACAAACAGGCCTTGTGAAACATAAGGGTCCCTGGACTAGGATGCATCTTTGAGGAAGAAACTGGGCTAGAAAGATTGATCTTCTTAGAGATTACACAGGAATGAGTTGCTTTGGTCATTCCCATTGCAGAACTTCCTCTAACATGGAAATGTTTCCAGAAAAGCCGATTGATAATGGAATTGGATTTTGTCTTAGTGTAAAGGGCCAAAGAGTAAATATTTTGCACTTTACAGGACATATGGTTTCTGTCACAACTATTAGACTATTCTGTTGTACAAAAGCAGCCACGGACAATATTATGTAACACATAGAATAAAATGGCATTTGTAAAGTTATGAAGCAACTTTTGACAAGAATGCAAAGAAAATCTAATCGAGGAAAGAACAGCCTTTTCAACAACTGGTGCTGAGACACACCAGATATCCACACTCAGAACGATGAGTTTGGCTCTTTTACTCACACCATAAGCAAGATAGGACTGGAAATCAATTGTGTGACCTTCATGTGGGAGCTGAAGCTATAAAAGTCATAAAATACATTTACAAACAAATCTCTTTGAACTTACAGTAAACAGAAGCTTCTTAGCTATGCTAAAAAAGCAGTGACAAAATAAAAACAGAGAAATTAGACCTCCTCAAGATGCAAAGAATCTCTTGGGTTTTAAAAGACAGCATCAAGAACATGAAGAAACAACACACAGAATAGGAGAAATATTTGCAAATCATATATCTGACAAATGCCCTACAATTTAGTGAGGCAAATACAATTGGTTCTCCACATTTTATGGATTCAACCAACTGCAGATTGAAAATATTAAAAAAGGTACATCTGTACTGAATACATATATATTCTCTTTCAAGTCTTATTCTCTAAATAATACAGAAGAGCAACTATTTACATAGCATTTACATTGTATCAGGCATTACACACAATCTAGAAATGATTTGAAGAATACCAGAAGATGTGCATGGGTTATGTGCAAATATTACACTATTTTATACATGAGACTTGAGCATTCATGGATGCAGGTATCTGCAGGATATCCTGAAACCTATCTCCCAAGGAACTTGGATGACTGTAACTCAGCTAAAAATAAGGAGATAGTCAGAAAAGATATTATTCTAAAGCAAGTACATAAATAGCCATTATGCACATGAGAAGATAGTCAACATCATTAGTTTTATGGAAGATGACATTCAAAGCTTCACCATCTCACACACTAGGCTATGTATGATAAATAAAGACAGAGGAGAGCAGTGACAGTAGAGAGGTAGAGGAATTGGCCTATGGACATTTTCCTGGTGAGAATTCATAATGGTGGCTTTATAATGGTGAAGCCTCACTGGAAAACACAGAGTTACTTACGGTCCAGAAATTCTACCTTCTGGGTGCACACCCACAATAAATGAAAATCTATGTTCATGCAAAACTTGGAACAATTACATTCTTAGCAGCATAATTTTTAATAGCCAAATAATAGAAACATGACAAATATGTTTTAATTAATAAATGGATGGGAAATGGTTGTTATGTGTGGATCAACATGAATGAACCTTGAAAAATACTGAAAAAGGCTAGTCACAAGAAAAAACGTGTTGGATGATTTTGTTTATTATATTGAACATTCAGAATAGGCAAACCTCCAGGGAAAGAAGATAGATTTGTAGTTGCTAAGAGCTAGAGGAAGAAGAGCATCCAGAAAGGGCCTGGGGTTTATTTTAGGGTAATAAAAAGGTTCCATATATTCTACAGTTAGATTTTGGTGATGGTTGAGCAACTCTTAGAATATTTTTAAAAGTTCCAAATTGGAAACTTTAAATCAGTGATTGTATAAAGCTGTTTTTAACCAAACAGACAAGCAGGAATTGATCCAGAGGTCATTGTTTAGGGTGGTTTGGGGATCACAAAGTGAAAAGGGAGCTATGAAACCAGGTACTTGTGTTTTTCCAAGAACACAAAGCCTGACAGAGTAGCACAACCCACCACTGAGGGGAGCAGAGGGTCGGGGGACTCTGGTTTCATTTATTCAGCTGAATTCTCCTTCTTTGGTCAAACTAGGGATCAACACTGGGACTCAAAGTGTATGTGGAAGGTCGAGATGTGTGTAATTCCAACACATAGCAAAGTGGAAAATGGTCCAAGGATAGCACAAAAGGAAATTCTAGAATCACAAACTGAAACACTGAGAAAACCTCCAAAGAAAGGCTTGTTTGGAAATAAATGCATCAACTTACTGCTTCTTCTTCCTTGCTGAGCAGTTTGGCGCATGACAAAAAGTCTTCATACTTTGCATAAGGAATCACCGGCTCTGGAAGTTCTCGAAGGTAAAGCTTAAGAAGCGATGCCACTGTGTGCACGTCTGTGTTGCTAGGAAAAGAGAAATCGGGAGATATTCTGTGAAGTGAACTTTATACCATGTTGCTTAGTTTTTTCAACAAACACCTGCCTATCTGTGCATCAGAATTCTATCCACCTCGCAGTTCAATCAGCCAATCCAGTTTTAAGGGAAAACGGGTACATGTTCTGCAATGCTCAAATGCTTAGTAGACTCCACCGTAGTGGGAGGAAAAGGGCACTCAAGGATACTTCAAGTTCTCAGTGTGCTCTGAAAATACTTAAAAGTTCCAGCATTTTTCTAATGTGTATAGGTGAGGTCAGCAAGTGTTAGCTATGGAAAAACAAGGGGAATATATCACATCTTAAATAAAATATGATATCATTTACAAATATATATGTGTGTATTCATATGTCAGAAATAATTACTTCCAGCTGGGCGTGATGATGCACACCTGTAATCCCAGCACTCAGGAGGCTGAGGCAGGAGGAACGCTGTGAGTTCGAGACCAGCCTGAGCTACACAGTGAGTTCCAGGTCAGTCTCAACTACATAGTGAGACCCTGTCTCAAAAAATATATATATATAATAATTACTTCCAAATCTTCACTCCATCTCTCAACATATAGAACTCCATTTGAGAAGATATTGATGATTGGCTACTGATATTTGAAGCTCTAGCCTGACATGGTATTACTTTTTAAGCGTAGCTCATTTTGAAGATGATTGATTTTCAGCATAATTGCTTGTCTAATATCCTGAAATAGTAGGGAATTTTAGAGTCCTCTACAAAGAGAAGGGTGATGAATGCTGTGTAAATAAACAAAGAAAATTTAGTATGTCCTTTGTATAATTTGTGAAATTTATTTTTATCCTCTGCTGAATACCACAGTGGCAGGATAATTTACTGAAACATTAATTTATGTTTTGTTTTCTGTATGCCTCATTTTCTGTTAATCCATGTAGATGAATGACAGTAAAGACAGGAGCAGTGATTCTTTGCGGGTGGGATGGTTATATATTTCTAGGAAGAAGCAGCAGAAGTGTGAAAAGGTGACTGACTCCTGTGGATTGGTAGGGTGTTGATGAGCAGCAAAGGATGCTGGGAGAAGTGAGGGCTTCCTTGCACTCCAGGGCTGATTTCTAGGAGGGCTGAGCCATCAGAGGGCTACGCCTTGAGAAGTCAGGGTATAGGTACTGGAATTTCCTGCCTGGTGATCATTCTCTTATTCAAAACTGTGACGCAGATGGTGAGTCTCTAGGAGAGTCTATGAGCTAGGATAACGTGTCTCTCAGTTCTCAATTTTGGACTCATGGGTAAATTACATCAGGAATCTAATGTATTGTAAACACTTACTTCATACTGGGTATTATGGAAAATACAGTGGTTATTTTGAAGTTTCTGTGCTACCTTGAAATTGATTATCACAACAGGATTACCAATAATGGTTCTGTATGTATTGAAATGATAAATTTGGTCTAATGAGGATTGGTTGATTCATTTTTCAATAAATAATCGTAATTCAATAAACTTTCCTCTTAACAATTCGACACAAATAAATAATGTAGAAGAGATGATCTTAAGATGTAAAGAAGATCATATCTAAAGGATATTTTGTGGACTGCAACCAACCTCATTAATTCCTAAAAATAATTTCCAGATTTTCTTTACAAGATAGACCTAATAATTCACTGGGAAGACACAGCATCCAGTGATGTTTCTGTAGTGTCCTGGCAAATGCACTCTATTTCATGCATATCCGAACCCTCTGTTTCTCTCTTCCTCTTCGGGAGAATATGTGACCCTTAAAGGTGCTGTCACCAATAGCAGCAAAACCATGGCCCAGGTCTGGATACACAGTGCCACTATATATCTCTATAAATGATTTCCACATTTTTCTTCTAGTTTACTGTTATAACTTGGCTGGACCTATTTTGCCTTCAAAATCAATAAGAATTTTGTTAGAGCTACAGTTAGGTGGAGAGAATAACATTAAATAAAATATAAAATAAATGTGTATATTTCAATATACAAAGTATATTTTATATGTCTACACAGAATATATCAAATATTGATGGGTAAATGCAATAAGTAAGTGAAAAGGTAATGATACACACAAAAATCTATTGTAGAGATTCAATATATGTATTCCCCCAAATGCAATTTTTAAGCCATCTGCCTTGCAAATTATTTCGTGAGCAAAAGTACAGTATTTGAGAATGTTTGAACACTAGATGGCGGGGTAGCAAAGTCAGACTATGGCTGCAAGAATTATGAAGGATGAGAGGTAGAATCATTCTTTCCCCACTTGCAATTTTCTTAGCACCAATGTTGCAGGAATGTTCCAAGAATAGAAATTTTTGAGCTATGCATCAAGGTAAGAGAAGTAAAGTGGGATGGCTATTGCATTCCTCCCCTGCATTGATACCATACAGTAGATTTCTTGCACTCTGTTATGTATGCACACAGTGAGTTACAAAGAAAAAAGAGCCAAATATGTTTTTCCAATTAACAGAGGTTATTAAAGTTCTGTTTCAATGCGAAAAGTTAACGTTTTATGACTCTCTTTTGGACTTTATTACCCTTAGGCATCTCTGTAGAAACAGAAACTTCTTCATGTATTTTGCATTTTCATTTCTTGGCTTTGTCCTTTCCCCCCTAATGGAGGAAACTAACACAGCTGGACAGACTCCAGACTGGATTGTCTGTCTGATTCACCCAGTGAGGCTCACAGCCAAGTTGCTCCAATTGTCAGGAGGCTAGTATGGCAATAGGGAAGTCTGATATTTCTCACAAAGATCATTCACTACAAAACAGCAGCCTTTTGTATCTAACTTTCCAGCTTGGCATCTTTTACTGTAAATCCACAATTTTCATAACTGATATTTACTTCAATTTGTGCAACCAATTAATTAATAACAGCATCGTGTCAATTTTCCAATGAACTTCACATGTGCCATTTTTGCCTCAGAAAAATACATGTGTCTCCAATGACACAGAGTAAAGCAATGCATTGTAGCCCAAGTCTATGGTCACTGGAGACTGGGAATCCCTCACTTAGCCACTAATCACATCAGCAGTGCCGCTGCACACACCATACCCTCACTGCAGTCCAAGGAGTAGGTTCTGTTATTAACCTCAAGTGAGGTTCTTGAGCAGGACTGCTCAGATAAATCGATCATATATAGTTGTAAAAGTTCACCAATGAAAAGTGAATCCAAAAGTATAAGCAGCTCAAAACTAAATCAAATATATAGTTGTAAAAGTCTGCTTCTGTTCAAACTTATTTTTTCACATACCTATCAAGACCAGTGGCCCTTGTGACAGTGAAATGCAACCATAGTTAAACTCTCTCAGCTTATTGTGCTGTTACATAAGTGTCACTGATGGCTTATGCACAAAATCAAATGGCTGTTTCACCTCTAGGCAAAGTCCTAGAGTAGATGGAATTAGTGCCTCTTTCTACTCATTTCTCCTGATTTAAAAGTACTAATGGCAGAGAACTGCTTGATGACCCCTGCTACAGACTGAATTATGTTCCACCAAATGCACACATGAAAGACCAAACAGGCAGGGCGGCACATGCCTGTAATCCTACCTGCTTAGGGGACTGAAAATGGAGATTTCTAATTTTGAGCTTAGCCTGGGCAACTTAGCAAGACTCGGTATCAAAAAAAAAAGAAAAAAAAA